TTCCCCCTTCAGGTCACCGACCCGTCTGGGGACTTGGGGTGCAATGTCAGTTCCCCCCTTCCATGATCACCCCAGTTGGCATGTATCAAGAATCAGTTTGAAAGGATGAGCGGTCTCGGGTTTGTTTGAGGGGTCGATCTGCAGCGCACGGAATGCAGGCGGGGTAGAGGGCGCGGCTTGCGAGTACTACTGTACTGTATGTACATCGACCGTCTCTGCGTTGTCGGGATGAGGGGGTAAGAAAGTCTTTACCTACAATACAGGCTAACACGATGCCCGTTTCCTGATCATCGACTTGAGGGTGGTTTTGCCGAAGAAATCCCTATGCTGACGGTCTGGTTCTCACAGCTAAACCCATCTCACTGCCGATGACGCCAGGGTCCCTCCATTACTGTTATCTATGGCGTCAGTCAAGATAAGATCGCATCGCGAACCCCACTCAAGGCACATTTCAGTCTCACAGCTGTGTACCAATACTTCGGAGGCTCTTCAACCAGCCACATCATTGACTCCAACTCGACAGGCTAATTAGGGGACTCTCGCTTCCATACCAGTGGTACTTGGGTACTTCAATTTCCGATCCCAGTAACAACCGGGAACGCTTGCGTCACATGGCACCCTTTCTCCGAGCCGATCAGATACAATGCAACCTGACTGAACACGGACCAGTTTGCAGTCTAGCCACCCCTCCCCCAAGGCCTCAATAGCCTGGACCGACCGTGTCCAAGATCCAATGGCGCTGACACGTGTGTATCTGCAACCCCGAATGTAATCAGTGCGTCATATGAGGGGTTCCTAAGTTGGTCCAAATCAGGATATGGCACCCTTCGCGGCCTATAGACCGAGACGACAACCAGTTGCGGGTGGTTGTCGGGCCCAGAACGAGCTGGGCAGCATCGAGGCTCTATGTCGATATCGAGATGCCTCGACAGGAACCGTACCGACTCGACTCTCATGCCTTTGGAGGGGGTCGCTTAGGGCGCTTCCGTGACAGCTGACAGTCGATGCACAATCTGGTGTACCCCGCACCTGCGTCCCTGTGTTACTCACATACGGGCTGCGCTCGAGGGGTACAGCATGCCGCCCAACGCGTACCCTGTACGTGAATTGAATATGCAGCTCATAGTTCCGATGGCGTCTTAGCCCCATGACACGTGTGAACCTGGTGTGAATCATGCCTGGATCCCTGTTGATGCCCTAGGACGACAAAATATCGGAACTGTCTGCTATTGATCTCGAAGCGCTGTATGCGCGAATCGCGTTGCGACCGAGGGCAGAGTAGATCGGAGACTGTACAGTCGGACCCCAGGATGACCCTGCTCACAACCCGACGCCGAGCGCGTCGGAGCTTCTTAGTTGTTGCAGCCTCCGGCTCAAATGATCCATTTCTCGTATCGATGCCGCATGGCTCTCACTCACCCGATGCCTGCGATATGACTCGACAAGCCCTTTACAGACCGCCACTTGAGACTGCGATGTTCCCCAACTAATCAGCGCGATCCCGTTTGTCCGGTGATTGTGCATGCTCATGACAGATGCTTGATGTGCATGTGCTCTTCGCGATGAGGTGTCACCGTCGTTCGCGCAGGCTCATGTCAGACTATCCGCAGAATGTATACAAACTACCAGTGTCACCGATATGTTTCGAGCCGAGATTGTGGCTTACGATCAGTCGAGATGGCTTGATAGAAGTGCAAATACGCGGAAGAGATGCTGCATCTCTATCAGCAGGACGAGGTAATGACAGTTATTCGGTGCAATCTGTCCTCCCTTCGCGTGCTGCTTGGCAGCTCTCGTCTGCATCAGCTACGGGTACGATCACATGTCAGTCTGTCGAAGCATTTGACAACTGGTCGTTGCATCGGCATTGATGACCAGACAGTGCCATTCTCATGTCGGTCGATCGAGAGGTTTCGCTAAGCTCGGGTAGATACCATGTTAAGTCACAAAAATCTGTCGCCGCTGTCAAAGGACTTCGTCACGGGTGAACGCACACTGACCATCGACAAGCGACTGCTGTGTTGTTGGATTAAGGATGTTTGCTTCAACCTGCATGCGATGCATTCGCACCGCGGTGTGCTCATCATCCGAGGAACGTGCAGCAGAAAGCAAACTACATTGCGACTCACGGTTCAACGTCAGTGGATCCTCTACTTTCTCAACCTGAGCAGTCCTTGTCGTTAGACCCGACCACGGCGGTCCCTTGGAAGGACGAGATATTGTCTTTTTGCAGGTCGGACGGTAAGAGCATGCCGAAATTTATCGTGTCTTCTGAAGCTGGGATGTTTGCTGCTCTCATCGGACGATCATCTAGGTTTAAACTACCTGTAGGGGCGACATCAAGCTTTTTCGTTGTTTGCAAAGAATCTTAAGGATAACGCCAGGTTTTGTCTCCAGTCTCAAACTTGGGCCAAGTGCTGCTTTATCGCACGCTCCTACACTTTCACCTACTCGTAGCGGCCAGAAAAGAGCCATTCCCGGTCATTCTTCATGTCACGGCTCGCCTGTATTGTCCAGAATTAAACAACAAGCATTGATCGCAAGCGCTAACAGTGTAGTCGTTCTTCGAGCAGCTGGCTCTCAGCTGCTCCTAGGTGTGGATAGCACTTGGGTGGAGTGATTTGCTGACCATGTTAGAACTTTCCGCAATTCCCTTACCATTCTAAAAGTCTTGGTGTTCGACGAGCAAAACCACTGCGGTCGCGCGACGCTTTGCTCAGTTGCAAAAAGCCTACGATGAAGGTTGGCAGTATTCGGTTCAGGCGTTAGACATTGGGGAGCGCGACATAATGGCTCACTGGCTCATTCTATGTGATCATGAGCAGCAAACTTAGCGCAGGAAGCTATTCATTGTACGAAGTTATACCACAGTTAAGTGACCCTCTTTGAGAGTACGGAGGACTCGTTTCGCACGTTGACCGACTCCATGTGCATTTTTCAATCAATGCTGTCTCGGATACCATAGGCGAGCAAGAAAAATCCTTCCGAGGTGTAGGAAGTATCCCCTAGTTTCACCTCGTTCCGCCTATGTTTAGAGGCGAATCCTTCGCGTCAACGATATTAAATATATATCATTCGAAGGACGATACGAGCTCCTGGTTCCGGATCACTATCCGACAGCCTGCATCCTCCGGGTCGGTCGCTTCCGGACCAGAAGCGTGGACTTCGGACAGTCACAGTTGTCGCAATCGCGACTAGCCCAAGTTGAATGAGTAGGATCACTCTGGATGTTCAGGCTGACTCTCGTGCTGTTTCGCTGGCTTCAGGTTCTTCGGGGAGCATACCCGAGAGGTTATCGTGTGCAACTCTCAAGACAGAAATCTGCACGAGACCGGAAGTTCGCGCAACAGGCCAAGAATAAGCGAAGCGAGGGTCGATTGGGCCTTCTAGTCCAGCAACTAAAGGAATAGTAGTCGCAACGGGCCGGGCATAATCTTCGAAAGAGGATGGAGTTTCCGCCTCCGGCTTGAAAAACCCTTACACCCCTGCTGCTTTGGCTGGGCTAGTTGGATCTAGCACGGCACCGTTCGAGATGGCGCCGGCTCTACATCAGGCGTGCGCAATCATTCATGTTTGTTTTGGACGAGGACTCGGTCTACAGAATAAGAGCGACCGACCGACCGGTGGGTTGCTGGAACAAGCATTGCTTTTGGATATCTCACCTGCAGGTTGATCAGCTGCAGGTACAAACCCTGGCAGGCACGAGGTCGATGCTCACTTCAACTGGTTAGACCACCAGGAATGAATGCAGCAATGCGATGCAAATTAACTTTGCAGCTTGTCTCAAATGCATAAAGTGTTTAAGTATTAGTGTGGCCTAATCTCCACCGGGGATTGGTCCTACGAATCCACTTGGTTAGTGTTCTGAATTGTCTTACGCCAGCATCCTTTGTAGCTCGTTCTTGGTTTGGACGAGTTCCTGAAGTATGGAGAACGGAGATTCGTTGACTGCGGCTGGTGGAGCCGGCAGACGGACAGTTGAGAGTTTGAGAGGTTTTTTTCGCTGCTTGGTTTTGGCTTGGAAATGGAGGGTGACTTGGCTTGGTGTGGGCAACGGCACGCTCCGTCCGGATTTCCGGAGATTCCGTGACCAATTTGAATGTCTAAATGTCTAACCTGTGGTCCTCAGGGACCGGGGAATGATCTGTGCTTTGGGGAGTGGTATGGGGTCGATTGCTGGCCAGATGAGCTTCGGATATTGCTTTTGATAGTACTTTACTGTAGGCAATGATGTGTAGTGTCTTTAGTGGAATTGTTGTAATATCGGTTGTCGCTTGGCGTGTACAGCTGGTTATTGGCTGGTTGTTGGCTGGTTATGGGCTGGTAGACAGCCTGAGGCTACAGCCATGTGTCAGGTTGATTATATCTTCTTCTTGATAACGGAGGGAGGAAGTGTCATAGTTGTGAGTCAATTTATGTATGCAACAAATGCATCTGCGAAGGGTCAGGGGTGTGTCGCGTGCCTGTCTATCTATTCTAGTCGTTGTTAATGTTATTGTTGTTGTTTGTTACATGCATGATGACTTAACCATTCTCATCCATGGCTCCTCCTCATCTTCTTCCGCTTGCATGCTTTAACTACTCTCTCGAATGAGTCGACTCCTACTCTCCATCGTGAGTGTCGATCCCTGCCTTCTGCTTCAATGCTTCATCCATTGGGGCAAAGTTAATATCCTTTAACTTTGACCCAAGGATGAACTAACCACACACCAAATGGGGAATCGCATACTGCTCCCTCCTCTCGTTGGCTGTCTCTGCCTCCCAGGCTCTCTTCCCCCCCTTGCCGCTCTCCGGTCGTCGTACGATCGAGATCTCGCGCTCTCGCTCTTCTTCCTCATGGTCCTGCAGCCTGCTGAACTTTTCGGCGGGAGGCGAAGAAGTAATAAACCCTGCATGCATTAGCGGAAAGTTGAGAAGATTGAAAAAGCACTCAAGCAAAACCAGTCTCTCTCTGCCCCTGGTCTTTTTTTTCCCTCTTTCCTGTTTGCTTCTTCTTCTTCTCCTTCTTCTTTTGCAGCTTTTTTCTTTTCTTCTTCCTTTGATCGATCCTCTTTCCAGCCTTACGGATAAGATAAGATCTTCCCATGCTTCGCACATAAACAGCATGGAGCAGCAGCAGCAGCAGCAGCACGAGGCCAAGCATTATGCCGGCGATCCCGCGGCGATTGAGTTGCATTCCCCCTCCGACGGTCGTCGTTCGTCTGTCTCGGCCCCGATCAATGCTTCCGGCCACAAGCAGGAGCTGGATCGGAATTTTGGCTTCATCAATATCTGTGGTCTGGCTTTGACCAGTGGAAATACCTGGATCGCCCTGGGTGGAAGTATTGTATGTGTATCTCTTTGCCCATGGTGGTGGTGGTGGTAGTAGTGGATAGTGGCTGATTGCCATGTACAGGTCACAGCTATCTATGATGGCGGCCCGCCCGGTGTCATCTATGAGATGTACGTTGGCTCTACTGTTTGGCTTCAGGTATAAGGAGCAGAAAGCTGACTGTCGCTTGCAGGATCGCTGCCTCCTTCTTTTACTGGTTCATCGCCGCCTCCCTAGCCGAGCTGGCCTCGTCCATGCCATCCTCCGGTGGAGGTGAGTCCAATCCTACCATGAGAGGACTGATGATCAAAGGACTAATGATTAATTCGTTCGCTCAACAGTCTACCACTGGGCAACCATCACCGCTGGTAGATACGGACGTCCGGTCGGCTTTTTCGCCGGATGGTGGAACTTCCTGGCCTGGATCTTCGGCGCCGCATCTACGACGCAGATTCTAGGCACACAGGTGGTGTCGGCCTACGCGCTCTTCCACCCCGAGTACACCATCCAGCGTTGGCACGTTTTCATCGCCTACCTGATTTGCTCGATCGGCTGCTGTCTGACCGTCGCCTTTGCCAACCGGGCGCTTCCCATGATCGAATCCGTCGGTGGGGCATTGACGGTGGCTGGCTTCCTGATCACGGTGATTGTGTGCGCGGTGATGCCGCACGTCAACGGCCAACCCTACGCGACCGACGACTTCGTCTGGAGAGACTGGCTCAATGAAGCCGGCTACAGCAGCAACGGTTTCGTGTTCTGTTTGGGAATGTTGAACGGAGCGTTTGCCGTCGGCACGCCGGACGTGATCTCGCACCTGGCGGAAGAGGTCCCGCAACCGGGCAAGAACATCCCCATCGGCATGCTGGCACAGTACGTCATGGGCTTCTTCACGGCGTTTCTCTATCTCATCGTCATCTTCTACGGGATCACGGACCTGGACGCCGTCCTCGACGCCCCCTACCTCTACCCCTTGACCGAGATCTACGTCCAGATCACCGGCTCCCGCGGCGGCTCCCTGGGTCTGATCATTGTCTCGCTCCTCCCCTTGGTCGTGGCCATCATTGGCTGCTACCTCACCTCCAGCCGTGTCCTGTGGACGCTCGCCCGCGACGGCGCCACCCCCTTCAGCGGCTACCTCCGCCGCGTCGATCCGACGCACAAGAACCCCCTCGCCGCCGTGCTCGTCAGCGGCGTCATCCCCCTCGTCCTGGGTTGTATCTACGTCGGCAACTCCACCGCCTTCAGCGCGTTCGTCAGCTCGTTCGTCGTCCTCACCACCATCTCCTACCTCGCGGCCATCCTGCCGCACCTCCTGCGCGGGCGTCAGGGCATCCCCCGCGGGTGGTTCTGGATGTCCGGCCCCGTGGGCTTCATCGTGAACGGTGTCACGTGCGCCTTCATCATCGTGTTCATCGTGATCTTCTGTTTCCCGTTCTCGATGCCCGTGGATGCCGAGACGATGAACTACACGTGTCTGATCACGGGCGGGTTCACGATCCTGATTGCGGGCATCTGGGTGGCGAAGAAGGGGGATTACCAGGGTCCCACGGTGGTGGCGATCGAGAGTGAGGCTTTGGCTAAGGATGCTATCTAGTTTGACTTTTTTAGATGGTAATCGGCAGGAGCAGAGCAATGATGTGATTGTATAGTATATTTTAATTTTCTGATGAAGGGGGATTTTCTAGATCTAGAGGTAATCTAAAAGTCGTCGATTCTGTACTTCTTCATTCGATTCCTGATATTCTTTGAATGGTGCTGTTGTTGCTGTTGAGTAGTGAGCTTTATGCAGCTATATCGTTGATACTACTAGTAGTAGTAGTAATATCGGGTCGGCAGTAGAAATGGTCTATCGGGCCTGCAGCAGCGTCTTTTACGCAAGTTCACTCATGCATCGCGTTGTGCCAGGTCTGCCTTCCCGTAAGATGTTCTTGGGCTTCAGGCTGAGGCAATTGTTGACCGTGCCAGCCAAGGCCATTCTCTCACGATGCTTAGTGGAGGTGCATGACCCAGTGTCCGTCCGAGAGAACTCGAGACGTTGTAGACATTAGCCTGTCCAGGGTGCGGGCCTCAACGACTCAATAATTCGCAAAGATGCTTTTTTCTGCTCGCAACTGCCGAGAGCACCGGTAGATGTAGTGTCGGTGGATGAATTGAGCCAAAAAAAAATAAATGGCAAGACGCGAGAAAAGAATCGCACCACATCGGATGATGTCCGACAAGCTCATTTACCCGACTGTGACGTTCTTCTCAACTCCTCCTCAACTCCTCAGCTCCTCCTCAGCTCCTCTCCGGCTAAAACAAGATCAAGCAACATGAAGCTAGGGAAAAATTCAGGCTAAAGTGAGCAAGGGAAGATGATCGACACGCCTCTTGCACCACATCGCCGGTTTCTCCGCAGCCACCCCGCATCTATACTCGGCTTGACTCGACTCGACGCTTCAACTCGACTATAAATTCCTTCAGATTTGCCGGCACAATTGAGGTTTCAGTATGACGTTGTCGCTCAATTCCCCCAATTCCCCCAATTCCTCTCACCCTCCGTTCAACCGCAACCACCACCATGGCTGTGGCGGCTCTTGCTCTGCTGGCGCTGTTGCCTCAAGCTCTGGCCCAACATAACAGCAGCTACGTGGATTACAACGTCGAGGCCAACCCGGACTTGTTTCCGCAATGTCTGGATACAATCTCCTTGTCCTTCCCCGACTGCCAGAGCGGTCCTCTGAGCAAGAACCTCGTCTGCGACTCGACCGCCTCGCCCTATGACCGCGCCGCGGCCCTGATCTCCCTCTTCACCCTCGAGGAGCTCATCGCCAACACTGGTAATACCAGCCCGGGTGTCCCGCGTCTAGGTCTGCCTCCATACCAAGTCTGGAGTGAGGCCTTGCATGGCCTGGACCGGGGCAATTTCACCGACGAGGGGGCTTACAGCTGGGCGACATCCTTCCCCTCGCCCATTCTCTCCGCTGCTGCCTTTAATCGCACCCTGATCAACCAGATCGCCTCCATTATCTCAACTCAGGGTCGCGCCTTCAACAACGCCGGCCGCTACGGTCTCGATGTCTACGCCCCTAACATCAATGCCTTCCGTCATCCTGTCTGGGGTCGCGGACAGGAAACTCCGGGCGAGGATGCGTACACTCTCACAGCCGCCTACGCCTACGAATACATCACGGGTATCCAGGGTGGCGTGGACCCAGAGCATCTGAAGCTCGCAGCGACAGCGAAGCACTTTGCCGGCTATGACATCGAGAACTGGGACAACCACTCCCGGCTGGGGAACGATGTCAACATCACGCAGCAAGACCTGGCCGAGTACTACACGCCGCAGTTCCTCGTGGCCACGCGCGATGCCCGCGTCCACAGCGTCATGTGCTCCTACAACGCCGTCAACGGCGTGCCCAGCTGCTCCAACACCTTCTTCCTGCAGACCCTCCTGCGCGACACATTCTCCTTCGTCGACCACGGCTACGTCTCCGGCGACTGCGGCGCCGTCTACGGCGTCTTCAATCCCCACGGCTACGCGGCCAACGAGTCCAGCGCCGCCGCCGACTCCATCCTCGCCGGCACCGACATCGACTGCGGCACCTCCTACCAGTACCACTTCAACGAGTCCATCACCACCGGGGCGGTCGCCCGCGACGACATCGAGCGCGGCCTCATCCGGCTGTACGCTAACCTCGTCCGGCTGGGCTACTTCGACGGCAACAGCAGCAGCAGCAGCCCGTACCGCAGCCTGAGCTGGTCCGACGTCCAAAAGACAGACGCATGGAACATCTCCTACGAAGCGGCCGTCGAGGGCATCGTCCTCCTGAAGAACGACGGCGCCCTCCCGCTTCCCTCCTCCTCCTCGGGCAAGAACAAATCCATCGCCCTCATCGGCCCCTGGGCCAACGCCACCACCCAGCTCCAGGGCAACTACTACGGCGCGGCGCCATACCTCATCAGCCCGGTCGACGCCTTCACGGCCGCCGGCTACACGGTCCACTACGCCGCCGGCACGGAGATCTCCACGAACTCGACGGCGAACTTCAGCGCCGCGCTCTCCGCCGCGCGCGCCGCCGACACCATCGTATTCTTCGGCGGGATTGACAACACCATCGAGGCGGAAGCCCAAGACCGCAGCTCGATCGCCTGGCCCGGCAACCAGCTCGAGCTGATCGCGCAACTGGCCGCGCAGAAATCCGAGTCCCAGCCCCTGGTGGTGTACCAAATGGGCGGCGGGCAGATCGACTCCTCCGCCCTGAAAACAAACCCGAAGGTCAACGCCCTCCTCTGGGGCGGCTACCCGGGCCAATCCGGCGGCCTCGCCCTCCGCGACATCCTCACGGGCGCCCGCGCCCCGGCCGGCCGCCTCACCACGACCCAGTACCCCGCCTCCTACGCCGAGAGCTTCTCGGCGCTCGACATGAACCTGCGGCCCAACACCACCACCAACAACCCAGGCCAGACCTACATGTGGTACACCGGCGAACCCGTCTACGAATTCGGCCACGGCCTCTTCTACACCACCTTCAAGGCTTCTTCCCTGCCCTCTTCCACCCAGAACACGACCTCCGCAGCAGCAGCAGCAGCAGCAGCAGCAGCGGCGAAGAAGTATACATTCAACATCACAGACCTCACCTCCTCCGCGCACCCGGACACCACCACCGTCGCCCAACGCACCCTCTTCAACTTCACGGCGGCCATCACGAATTCCGGGGCCAGGGACTCCGATTACACCGCCCTGCTGTACGCCAACACCTCGAGTGCGGGCCCGTCCCCGTACCCGAATAAGTGGCTCGTCGGGTTCGATAGGCTCGGTGCCGTGGCCAAGGAGGGGGGCACGGCGGTGTTGAATGTGCCTGTGGCGGTGGATCGGTTGGCGAGGGTCGATGACGACGGGAATTCAGTGCTGTTTCCGGGGCGCTATGAGGTGGCCTTGAATAATGAGCGCGAGGTCGTGGTCGAGGTCGAGTTGGTGGGGGAGGCGGTGGTGTTGGTGAAGTGGCCGGAGGAGGTGCAGGGGGTGAAGGGGGATGAGTAGGTTTTTTTCTGTGGCAGGGGAGGGGGGGACGGGGCCAGAGGGAACTTGGAAGGGTGGTTGTATATATCGTAGTAGGGGATAGTTGGATAGGGTTAGATGAGATAGCTTAATCGGTTGGCTTATGTCTGCCATCGACGAACTGACTACCACCGAGTGGTTGTGCATAGTTAACGAACGCATGCAAAAGTTCCACATTCGAGATTTTCAGTGCAGCGAAGTAAAGGAGGAATCATTCCCTTTCTTTGCGAGAGAGAGAGCAAGCTAGCAAGCAAGCAAGCAAGCAAGAATAACACGCTATATACAGTACACACTCCCCCGACCACTAGTAAAGTCCATAAGAATGATAACAACAGCAAAGTCAACGCCCTCCGTGCAGAATTTTTGTCTATATTCGATAACATACTCCGGGGAATAACAAGCCCGTAACCTCCCCCCTCCACGGCCGATCTGCCTCACTGTCCTGTCCTTAGACCGACAACACCGCAAACAGACCTACCGCGTCTCCTTCCCCCCGCTCCGCACCTCCCGCTCCAACACATCCAACGCCTCCGCATACCGCTTGCGCGCCTCCTTCATCCCCTCCAGACTGACGGCCACCCGGTGCATTTTCTGCGGGTCGGCTCCACCACCGCCACGCACGATCTTCCCGTCCGCTGCGCCGCCGATCTGCTGCGCGAACCACTTGCCCTCGCGGTGGGCGACGAGCGTGTAGGCCTGCCCCAGCAGGCCGGCGCGCGCCGTGCGGCCCACGCGGTGCACGTAGGTCGTCACGCTGGTCGGCACGTCGTAGTTGACCACGTGCGTCAGGCGGGGCAGGTCCAGGCCGCGCGAGGCGCGGTCCGTCGCGATGATGATCGAGAGCTTGCCGCGGCGGTAGGCGGTCAGCGTCTTGCGCGAGGCCGAGGATTTGTTGGACTTGATGATCGTGCCTGTGCGGGAGGCGAGGGTCGGGTCTAGCAGCGCGAGCAGGCGCGCGAGACGCGAGGCGGATTCGGAGGATTTGGTGAAGATGAGAACGGTCGGCGTGTTTGTTTGTGTGTTGGAGGGGCGGGGGCGGGTGGGTTTGGTTGGGGAGGTGGAAATGGAGGTGGAGGTGGAGGTGGAGCTGTCGCTGTTGCTGTCGCTGTCGCTGTCGCTGTCGGATTCGCTGTCCGAAGAACTCGAAGAATCAGACTCGCTGTCAGAGGTGTCGTCTGAATCGGAGTCCGAGCCTGAACTGGATGTGTCCGAGTCGGAGTCTGAGTCCGAATCCGAGTCTGAATCGTCCGAGCTGGACTCGTCCGAGGAGGTTTCTTCGTCGGAGGATGTTTCGTCGGAGGTATCGTCCGAAGTAACCGAATCGGAGGCTTTGGCCGGTTGTTTGGTGCCGTTGATTCGGATGTGGGAGAGGAGGAGGCGCAGCAGGTAGAGTGGCTTCAGGGATCCATCGCCCACCGAGATCGAGTGCTCCTTCAAGGTCGGCGGCAGGGTGAACTGCTCGTCGGCGCCGGCGATCACGCCACTCTCGTCGTCACCGACGGCGGCGGTTTCGGTGGAACCCACAATGACGAGCTTGGGATTGGCGAGTCGGAGAGAATTCAACTTGGTCACGTCCCGGGTCATGGTCGCACTCAGAACCACCTTCCTTGGCTCTCTGCTGTGGATCGGGAGGCCCAGCTCCGACAGGAAAGTCCCGCTGAAGCCGAACGCCTCGGGGGATCGGCGCGCATCCAGCGAATTCATGACCACGTCAACCCATTCTTGGAAGCTCTCGTTGAGCAACCGATCAGCCTCGTCGATCACGAGCCACTCCAAGTGTTTCAGCGTAAAGCCTTTGGTGTAGCGGATGTGGTCGACAAGTCGACCCGGGGTACAGATGAGGATGTCAACGTTCGGTTCCGAACGGTGCACGTATCCCGGCAGAGCCTCGCTCGAATCCACCGCATCGGAGATATATTCCTGCAAGTTGAAGTTGGTCCAGTCGTCCCCGGTCATTTTCACGTTCTGGCGGCGCTGGAACGTCGCGGGCCCGTACACCTGGTCGATGCGCATCAACGAACGCTGCTCGTCCTTGATGGCTACGTTACCCACAGCCGATCCCACCCGCAGGCCGGAGCCAGCAGCACACAGCTCACACGCCTCGCGGGCCTGCTTCACCAGTTCTCGGGTTGGCACGACAATGAGACCCCGCAGCCGAGGGGCAGGGATCTGCTCAAGCGCGGTGACGAGCGGTAGAACGTAAGATAGGGTCTTTCCGGAGCCCGTGGCTGCAGAGACACAGACATCGCCGGCGTGGTTCTTGGGACCCTGGAGTAGCAGAGGAATGACTGCCGACTGCACAGCAAACGCTTCCTTGTAGCCATTATCCTCCAATACCCGCAGCAGGTTCGCATTAATCCCCAATTCAGAGAACTTCGTCTTCTCGGTCGCCGAGGTCCGCAAGGGATTGGCCAACCAGGCCGGAAGCGACGAGTATGTAGGCTTCTCAAACACTTCAGGGACTTGCTCAGGCTGTGGTAGAGGTTCCAAGCCTTGCGCTACCACTGGCTCAGCCGTCAACAGTCCTGTAAAGTCGTCTTCAACCGTATCCTTCTTGCTTGCTTTTTCCAGCTCTCTCGCCTTCATAGACTTTTCGAACTTCGACCTGATGCCCGCAAACTTGTCCTTCTGTTTCGCATCGCCGTCATCAGCCTGAGTAGATTCTGAATCTCGGGCAGACTTCTTTGAGTCCTTGGCGCTCTTTTCTTCAACATCGTCTAGATTCGCAAGTTCTTCAGCTGATTCGATAGCAGTTCCTGATGTCCGTCGCTTCGAGTGCTTCGATTTCTTCTTGTCTTTAGCGTCCTTGCTTGGAGTAGGCGCTTCGCTGCGGATCGACGAGACAGCACTCTCCTTCGGGGTCGATACTTCCGGAACAGCACCGTCGGCCGTCCCCGTGGATCGCTTTCTCTTCTTGCGGACGTCGGAGGACGGGGTGGAGTCGGCCGCAGCACCCGGATCTTTCTTGGATTTCTTGGTCGGCGTGGGTGTCGAGGTAGCGACGGTGGAGCCATCGAGGTCTCTCTTCCTCTTGTGAGACTTTTTCGTGCTCGACGGGGTTCCTGAGCTCATGTGGGACGTATCCTGACGCGCGGAGCGGTCGCCGGCCATGATCGCGAGGTCAAAAGGGGTCCTGGGCGGACGTGCGAAGAGGGGTGTTTGGGGAAATGCGGCGATCTTGCCTGTTGTTGCGAGTCTTTCTTTTTTCCAGCGGGGAATCTTTGAGGCGGCAGAACGGCACACCGCCTCCACCGCCGCCCGCGCGTGGCCCTTTCGGGATGGCCTCATTCGACCTCCTTTCTCCTCCTGTCGCCCATACAAACCTCCCTTTTTTGTGGATTGGACGTGGTGACTGAGTGTGATATGGACGGCGGGTGAGCGGATTGGATTGATAACCGCGCAGAGTCTCTCGAAGTCAGCTCAGGGCCAGCCGCAGCCATGCCTTACAACATTGCGTGAGTCCCGTCGCATGTGGTTCTCGGAGCGAGTCTAATGGTCTGCACAGTATGGTCAGTGACTTCTTCTTCCCCCAACCAGGTAGGCATACTGCCCTCCAACTGTTTGGCCATATACTGACATGCTGAGATTTATAGGTGGGGTGGAAAGTCACATCTACCAGCTCTCGACCGTAAGCGACTATACTTCATCCCTACCCTCCATGATGGTCTACTCACCAGCCAACAGAAGCTCATCGATCGCGGACATAAAGTCATCATCATCACACATGCGTACAAAGGGCGGACCGGGGTGCGATACTTGACAAACGGGCTCAAGGTTTACCATGTCCCATTCTTTGTGATCCACCGGGAGTCGACCATGCCGACGGTCTTCTCTTTCTTTCCGATCTTCCGCAACATTGTCATCCGCGAGCAGATCCAGATCGTCCATGGTCATGCGAGCTTGAGTAGCTTCTGTCATGAGGCCATTCTTCATGCGCGCACCATGGGTCTGCGGACAGTGTTCACTGACCATTCGCTGTTTGGCTTTGCGGACGCGGCATCCATCTTGACCAACAAATTGCTCAAGTTCATCCTGAGCGACGTTGACCACGTCATTTGTGTCAGTCACACTTGGTTAGTGCTTAATCGCAGTGTCTCCCAGAAAGGCCCGGCTGACCTGCGCGCAGTAAAGAGAATACAGTCCTTCGAGCCTCCCTGGACCCGCTGATGGTGTCTGTGATCCCGAACGCGGTGGTGGCTGAGAACTTCCGGCCGGCAGAACCGCGGTCCATGAAGCCCATTGGCCCCAATGATACCATCACGATCGTTGTCATTTCCCGTCTCTTCTACAATAAGGGTACCGATCTGCTCATTGCAGCTATCCCGAGAATCCTCGCGTCGCACCCGAATGTACGGTTCATTATTGCGGGGTCCGGCCCCAAGGCGATTGATCTGGAGCAGATGTTGGAGCGCAACGTGTTGCAGGACAAGGTTGAAATGCTGGGACCGGTCCGGCACGAGGAAGTTCGAGACGTCATGGTCCGTGGCCACATCTACCTCCACCCCAGCTTGACCGAAGCCTTTGGTACGGTCATAGTCGAGGCCGCCAGCTGTGGACTGTACGTGGTGTGCACACGAGTGGGTGGTATCCCCGAGGTGCTACCTCAGCACATGACGACGTTCTCAAAGCCCGAGGAGGACGATATTGTTCTAGCAACTGGAAAGGCCATCGCTGCCTTGCGGTCGAACAAGGTGCGGACGGATCGGTTCCATGATCAAGTGAAGATGATGTATTCCTGGACCGACGTTGCCCAGCGCACCGAGCGAGTCTACCAGGGGATCTCCGGGGATATCAGCCCGGAGGAGTTTTACGGATACTACCCGGGCGAGGGTCTGGAGGCTAGCGGGGACCGTGTGCGGAGCTTCGCGCTGATCGACCGGCTGAAACGATACTATGGATGCGGTGTGTGGGCAGGCAAGCTCTTCTGTCTGTGCGTGGTGATTGACTTTCTTCTCTACGCCTTTTTGGAGATGTGGTTCCCGCGGGCGAACATCGATATCGCACGCAGCTGGCCGAAGAAAATACACCAACAGAACGAGAACCACTCACTAGGGAACGAGCAGAAGAACGACCGCGAGCGCCTACATGCAAACTGATCAAGTCTTACCCTTCTTCATAACACCCACTTTTTCACCGTTGGCGATCTACATCTTTACTACAGTGTATAGACACCCTTCAGATACACTTCATGACAAGCATCATTGAATTCTTCTCATCAGATTAATCATACATGAGCATTCGTGGGAAACCTTCTCGCTCGAAAAAAACAGGTTCCTTTTGTGTCCATAAGAGATTCACCAGGGTCCAGCCCCGACATTTTTGGAAGACTCAGTGCTTGTGGGTGTTGTCCCGCTTGGTGCCGGGCTCATACTTCCACTCGGCAGCCGCGGTGGTAGCGGGCTCGGGCTGGCGGTCCTCGGCCGCGAGAGCACCCTTGTCGCCGCGCGGGCCGGCGAGGTGGGCCTCGTCGCGGTCGAGCGCCCGCTGGCCGGGGATGTCACGCTCGAACTTGCTGTCGGCGTAGGCGCCAACCTGCTCGAGGCCAGCGGTCTGGCCCTTGCGGCCGGGCTGGCCGTCGTGGTGCAGCTCGGCGCTGGACTGGCCGGAGCCCGGGTGGCCCAGGCCGGTGTGCACGTCCCGCGAGGTGGCGCCCATCAGGGTGTCGGCGGCGGAGGTCTTGACGGACTCCTTGCCGTGGCTCCGCTCGACGTTGGGGTTCAGGGCCTGGCCGCCGACCTCGCTGGTGGTGTTGGCGCTGTAGGAGTTGGAGGCGGGCGCTGTGCCGGCCGGGTATGTCTCGGCGCGGAACTCCGGGGCGAAGTCGGCGGGCGCGACTTTGCGGCCGGGTTGGTGCTACACTGTCTGTCAGCTTCGATGCTCAGATCTGGAGTTAAAGACGGCGGAGGAAGACATACCCCTCCCTCCTCGAGAGGGCCGGTAGGCTTAACGGAGGGCTTGAACTCGCCCTGCTGGGGGTTGGCAACGGAGTCGGGGTTGCTGAAGTGGCTCATTTTGGATGGTGTGTTGGTATAGATTTTAATACAAGATAAGAGGGAAAAGGTAGCGTCGCGTGATTCGTGGGCGGATCGTAGTGTATTCTGGAATAGGATTCTAACTGATTTTCAAAGATTCTAGCTCTCGCATGGACAGACGGACCTTATAAGTAGGGGGACGGGGGGATGAAAGCTACACAGCAGGTAAAGTTAGGGCTTCCGCGGGCGGCGGGAAGGGAGGGGGGGTTTACGTCAAGGTGACTTCGACTGACTTCATTTTCTCACCTACCCTCCCCTCCCATCTCCTCCCGGGAGCCCCTTGAGTATCCAGGATAACGTCATGCAATGCATGGATTGCATGCCACTTGACGGGTCTGGACTTTTGTGTACTGGGCTTTTTTTCGGAAAGGGCCGGTTTTGGGTGGTTGTGCGGGTGGGGATGCGATGATGTTGTTTGATGGAATATTCACAGTGGTAATGATGCTCGCCTTGTGGGGGTTAGCATGTTTGATGAGATATGTGTACGTCGATCGGATGAGTATGCTCCGTGAGTATTGATGATGTGAGTTGTGTGTTATGTTGTTGGGTTGATTATACTATGTGAGACGGTTGATCGGTGCCTGATGATGTAGGTGAGGTGAGGTGAGGTGAGGTGAGGTGAGGCCTTTCAACCTTCCACACGTCTACTTCTTCTTGTATCTAGTTCTATTGACCGATGCAATAAGGTGACTGGCTATCTATGCACATGGGAATTTTAACAGGTATCATCAAGAATCACACAAAAGCAAAATCATTTCAATCAGGATAGGTATCTTTGCATAAACACGATGCTCCCCCGACGCCGAACGACAAGACAAAGATATTTCCAAGGGCGGAATTTCCCACCGGAGGTGCGGATTATAGGTTGAGGGCAGTGGAATGATTGAGTCGCTTCAGAGAGAAGACAATCACCGCATCACTGGCGGCCGCCCCTCCTTATTCCACTTGACCCGACTCTGCACCCACTCCACCGCCTCCTGCACGCCGGACCCCATCAGCGCACTCACCGGCAGCACGCGGCTGTCGCGCACGCCCGCCCCGGACTCACCCTCGAAGACCTTGCGCACGAACCCTTCCTTGATGCGGACGACCTCGACCGAGTCCTCGCGGTCCTGCTTGTTGGCCAGCACCAAGATGGGCACCCCGGCGACGTCCGCGTGCTTCAGCACCGACTCCAGCACCTGCCGGCACTCGTCCAGCCGCCCGAAGTCGCTCCCGGGGGCGTTGATCCCGACATTCTCGGCCGTGAAGGTCACGTTCGTCGGGGAGGTGGATCCGAGGTCACCGCCCTCCTCATCCTCGTCCTCGTCCTCATCGTCTGCAGCTGCAGCTGCAGCTGCCGTTGCCGTCTTGCTGCCGTCATCGCCAACAGCGGCAACGCCCCCGCTCGCGCGCCGCCGCTGCGGGAGCCGCGTGATGTCCGGGTCCTGGCCGACGTCGGCGCTGTCGACGACGAAGATGATGGCGTGGCAGCTGGCGTAGTAGCTCTGCCAGAGGTTGCGCATGGAGATCTGGCCGCCCACGTCCCAAATCTTCAGGTACATGTCCGGCAGCGAGATGGTGGCGACGTTCTGGCCGACGGTGGGGACGGTCTTGCCGATGCTGGCGGGGAGGAGCGAGGCCGGGAGGCTGCCATCGGCGCGCGGGGGCTGGTAGAGCGCTTTGATCTGGGAGAGGAGGGTGGTTTTGCCGGCGTTGTCGAGGCCGAGGAGGAGGACGGAGTATTCTGGTTGTGGATTTTTTATCAGAATCTGGACGTAGCGACCAGAGAGAAGGGGGGAAGGAAGCATGCTCACCCTCTTTACTCGTGGCGTACATGTACAGCGACTTGGCGAGGTGATACATGGTGTGATTTGGGGGGGGGTTGCAACAACCCCTCCGAAGGATCCGGATTAAATTGGATGGGAGATGAGTCGCGGAGTGTCGATCATGTCATGGCAGCGTCGTGGTGGTGCGAGATGCGCTCTTCTCCTTCCTGTCTTCCTCTTTCTCCGCTGGGGTCCTGCTTATCGTCAACTGGAAGGCGAGGGCGAAGCCAATGCGGGAAGGGAGGCTCCGCGTCAGCCTAGCCTGTCTGTCCGTTCCGTCCTCCGTCCTGAAGTGGTAAGCAGGGCTTGGGTCATTGCCCTGAGCCCTAATTGCCCGAAGCGTTGACCCCGCAGAGGAACTTAACCGGCATGTGAAATGCAGGGTCGATCCGTTGCCTGTCAGTGGAAGAAAGAGACACTACTCGTACTTAGATGATGCAGGAGGCAACCTGCAGGCGCATTTTTTGTGATTATCATCAGGAGATGGTCATGACACACTGAATGGTGTGATTTTGGAGTTGGTGGTGGTAGTTACTCAGTATAAGAAGTCAAGAACAATGGCCGAACATCTTCAACTTCTCCTTCAATACTTCCCGATGCTTCTTTCTTCCTTGTTTTCCAACCCCAGATTCATCTCACTCTCTCAAAGCCGATTTCCTTGGCTGGGCGGGGGCGGAACCACGGCCGGGTCATGATTACATATTCTCATCGTATTTCTAGAAATATTCCCCGATTACGGCCAAATCCCGACTTCTCCTCCAACGGTGTTTTGTCAGCGAAAATCGAACGGTCCCATTGTCCGCCTGCGGAATCGCCCTCCTCCTCCTCCTCCTCCTCCTGCCCCCAACCCCTCTTCTTCTTTTCTCTCACCATCCTCTTTCCTTTCTTCTATCTTTGTCCTCCAGCTCTTCTCATGTAACGGCCGCTCGATGGCCTTCCGCTCGGCATCTGTCTGCTTTTCCGCTGGGATCCACTGATCGCATTCCCCGCGCATGTCTCCGTCAGCATGCCCCGCGCTGGATGGGCGGCCGGCGGTCTCCCAGCGGCCTTCAATGGATAGCACTGACACCATCATTGTCGGTATGTCGTCATTTACATCCTCGCTCCTCGCAATTGGACCTTCCGTATGACACCAGGCAACTCTAATCCTCCTCCAGGGAACGGCCCGTCAGCCATGATCCTGTCCTACATCTTCCATGGTCATATTCCCTACTATCAAGCCGATCCGCCGCACCCGGATCCCCTGCTGCATGCCAAGCTGCTGCAGAACCCGGCTCTGCTTCAGGCCGACGTGAGCACGCTGACTGAGCATTTTGCCGCCTCGCGCTTGTCCTACTCGACCCAGGCCCTGCCGGTCAACGTGCTCCTCGACACCCTGGTGCGACCCAGCCTGGACGTCGAGGAGCTGGAGTGCGTCACCAACGTCGAATGGCGGTACGAGCCTGAAAAGGCCGTGCCCCATTTGGTGTTTGGCGACGCCGCGTGCGCTGGCGGTCAATGGACCGAGAACCCCATGCCTGCGAGCTGGGACATCCAGACGCTGAGCTATGCATCGATGTTGTCGCTGCCGGGGTATTCGTTCGCCGACCACCACCGTGCAGTGACCGGGAAGGATCTGCCGGCATTTACGCGGCCCAGCCGGCAGGAGACGGCGGATTACTTCCGTCGGTATCCCGGGGCCGTGCACATCGGCGATGTCTTCCGCTTCAACGAAACCCTGTCGGGGATCTCGCGCACGGACCAGGGCTTCTATATCCGCTCCCACAATCTCCATTGTAAACACCTGGTCCTGGCCACGGGGATCTTCACCGAGGTGCTGCAGCCGAGTCCACTGCTGCAGCCCGTGCGGTCCCTCGAACCGGCCCCCTCCATCCCGTTGCTGGTGATCGGCTCGGGATTCTCTGCGGCCGATGTCATCATCTCCGCCCCTAAGGATCAAAAGATCTTGCATGCCTTCAGGTGGGATCCAGAAGGCCGGCCATCTCCTCTACGGGGCTGTCATCACCAGGCTTACCCGGAATATGCCGGAGTGTACCGTTTGATGAAACGGGCGGCGTTGGCGGCGGCCCCAGCACCGCCCAAACGGGGCAAGATGCGACGGACGACGTCAACGCCGTTTCTAGAATCGCGGAAATGGGACGACGTCTACGAGGGTCTTCCCAATCTGGAGATTGTCAACGTCGAGATGGAGGCCGACCAGGCGCTCGTCACGTTCCGTCAGCCCGACGGGCCAACCCTCGTCCGTGCTATTCGTGGGCTGGTCTATGCCACGGGCCGTCGCGGTACACTGAAGTATCTCGATCCTTCTCTGCTCGCGGAAGTCTTGGGTCGCACAGATGCGGACTCGATTGTCACCAACCAGACTCTACGTGACAAAGCACTCAATGACATGGAGGTGGCGCCGGATGTCTTCGTCATTGGGAGTTTGACCGGAGACTCTCTGATCCGGTTTTCCTACGGGAGCTGCGTCCAGGCGGCAGGCAAGGTCATCGGAGCGTCAACGGGACAGGACTGGGTTTGGAACAGCTCAGCTCATACCTCGCGTCCATCCTCGTCCTCCGTGGGGGTTTTGCGGGGAATTGACGGACATGACGTCTATCCGGCCGGGGCAACTTGGTCACAGGGCGACGAGGATCGGTCGGTGTTATATACGATTCCGGAGCGAATCTTGCCCGGCGGACTATGGAAATGGCTCCGAAAATGGTGGAATGTGAATTGATATGGGTATGGTGTACACGATAAGATCTTATGTATAAAGGCCATAGATTTGGCCACGGATTGCACTGTTTATAATAGACATGATCTACTGCGTAGATTGTATATAGCTGTGGCTGTTTATAATGCCAGAGATATGATACTTGCTCAAACTTGAATTTATGAATATCTAGTATCATACATAACATGTGTGACTGCTGAGAATATCACTCATACACATCAACCCCACTCAACCCATAATCTGCAACTGGTCGTCCGGCGGCCACCGGGTCTGAGCGAAGCTGAGACACCGCTTGATACTCTGGAGATACTTGCGGGTGCTCTCGTCGCTCAGGATATGAGCCTGCTGATCACTCTGATGCAGCTTCTCACGCGCCGAACGCTCGTGGATACCCACCATGGTCACACCGATGGGCCACGCACTGCCAACATCGACTCGTTAGCTAACATTCCAACCTGTCAAAAAAAAGAAAAAAAAGGGACAGGGAACATACGCTTTCCCAATACTTAACCGCAAATACGCATCATTAGCATCGACATAGCGACGCAGCTGCGCCTTGTGCACGATCTCGACGACATGCTCCAAGACGCCGGCATCGAGATCGCCCTTCTCGAACTTGCGGAACAGCGGCTTCATATTCTCGCGCGACTGCACCATGGCGTTAAACGCCTGCCGGCCCTGCAGACTCTGCTTGACCGAGACATCGCGGTTCGCCAGCGCGGCCTCCCACTCCTTCAGGACCATAGTGAAATACGAGGCCAGCTGGCGGAACAGAAACTTTTTGCTGGCATCATCCTTCGGGACTGTGGCGGGGATCTTCATCTCCACCTCGGCCACGAGCTCCAGCGTCGTGGGGATCGGCCCGTCCGTCCACTTCTGTCGCTGCACCGCCTCGCCATCAGGCCGGTGGTCATCCTTCCGCACCACCCGCCAGTACCGTCGCGCGCGCGCCTTCTCCCCCTCCCCGAAGAGCGTCACCGGCTCCCCCAGCTCCCGCAACCGCTGCTTCACCTCCTCCGCCGAGAGCGCCTCTTCCCCTGGCCCTGGCCCTGCCCCCGCCCCCGTGGCAACCTCCTCCCCCTCTGAGGGAGTTGACTCGGGCAGCCCCAGCCGCCGCCTCCTCTCCCGCTCGCGCAGCGCATCCTCCTCTTCCCGCCGCCGGCGCGACTCCTCGGCCAGCCGCCGCTTCTTGTCCTCGCGCTCGCGCCGGCGCGCGGCCTCCTCGTCCTCGGCCTTGCGCTTCTGGGCGTGGCGGGCGGCGCGCTCGGCGGCCAGGCGGGCTTGTTCCTCGTTGTAGGCGGCCAGGCGGGCGGCTTCGAGGTCGGCGCGGCGGGTGTATTTCTTCGGTTCGCTCGATGTCGTGGGAGTGGGTGATGGGGAGGGGGTTTGGGGGTTGGCGCTGGCTTTGGCCTTGGAGATTTCTTTGGACATTAAGGCAGCGAAGTCCATTTTTGCGGTCGGGGACGAATGTTCAAGCGTGAGTGGATGTGTGTTGTTTGGGACGAAGGGAGGGAGGTAACGTTAGAGAGTATGAGTATGGGCTTGGAGAGGTGTTGGAGAAGGTTGTAGTTAGACGATAAGATTAACTAGTACCTACGGTATTGCCGCTGCGGGCGGCGGTGATCTAGGAGGGCGGTCGGGCGGTCGGGCGGCCAGGGCAGGGCGGAGAGTTACCTACCTACCTGCAAGCTACAAGTTCCGCGCTTCCACGGCTCTCGCTCTCCATGCTACACCTACCTACCTACTCCTACCTTACCTTACCTTACCTTACTTCAACTCCAACTCCAACAACCACAATAACAGCAACAACACAACCACCAGTCCACCCTCCACTCGAAGCCACACCACCAACCACGCCGACCAAAGCATGACCAACAACTAAGTAACAACTGACAACCACCCAACCCCTACCAAAGAACCAGCGCTACCAGAAACCCGCCAAAATGTCAATGTCCCGCCAAACCACAACCCCCTTCCACCTCAAACTCTTCTACCGCCAATCCACCTACCACCCCTTATCGGACTTCTCCCCGGCCAGCGCCAACCCCGCCGGCCGCAGCGGCGGCCATCTCCCCGCCCACCACCTCCAAATCTACACCTGGCCGAGCTGCTCGCTCCGCGAACTCGCCCACCTCCTGACCTCGACCCTGCCCCACCTCCTCCCGGAGGTGCCCATCGGCACCCGGCTGAGCTTCCGGCTGATCTACCCGGACACCAAAGGCGCGGCGATGAATCTGGGAGAGCATGGAAGGGGACGGTATCTGGCCAAGGAGATGGGGAGTGTGGTTGTTGCGCCGAGGGGGTATGATGATGACACTGATAGCAATGAGGGGGGGAAGGGGGAGGGGGAGGGGGAGGGGGAGGGAGGTGGACATGGCTCAAAGGCGAGGGCTGCTGCCGCCGGCGCATTCAGAATGAGCGGTGCGGATGCGGAGAAGACGTTGCAGGATTTTCGGTTCGTGATTGGCGATTATGTCGATTGTGCGATTGTGCCGCCGCTGGAGGATGGGTCGGTTGCGCCGCCGCCTCCTGTCGGTTCCGGGGGTGGCGGTGGTGGTGGCGGTGGGGGGATGAGGGCGTTTCCTCAGGGGGGGAGGGAGGAGAGGTCGTATTTCGGACGGGGAGGCGGGAGAGGGGGACGGGGGTTTGGCGGTGGGCTGAGGGAGAGGGAGAGGGAGAGGGAGAGGGACCGTGATCGAGAGAGGATTCCGCCGGGGGATTGGAGGCGCGGGGAGAGGTTGCCTGAGGGGGATGGTGGTGGTAGACGGGAGAATGGCGGGAGGGAGAGGGATAGAGATGGGGGGAGGAGGGGGTGGATGCCTTATTAGTTGTTCAGTGGGTTTCCAGTGAAGGGTTGAGGTGGTAGTTTGGGTAGCTGGGATTGCAGGCGTGTACGATAGTGAGGGCTGAGGGGAGTGGAATGGATTATACCTCGTTTCTAACGGCTATGGAATTGACTGCCTGTCCGGTTTAAATGCTCTGAGATAGAGCAGATGGATCCTGCATCTTAGATGCTTTCATATACTGTACCTACTCACCGATCCCAACTACTATCAGCTACCAGTACACCCCGAGCACGACAACTTCCGTCCCCAATAAAACAACGAAACGAAATCAATTGCACCGCGGTATAATAGATACAACCCAGCCCCCATCCTTCTGCCCTACTGTCTCTTCCCACCAGATCATCACCCTCTACCACTCCACAATGGTATCTCCCTTGCGCTTGCCGCGCAAATCGTACTTGCCCTGTCGTCCCCAATTAGCTACTCCCCTCACCACCCCCTATCAGAAAACCACATACCTCAGTGTTATACGCCACATAGCCCAACGCCCCCGGGATCAGAGCCATGTACAGGAAAGAGAACCAGGCATGGCGCGGCGTCCACCGGAAGTACTTGTACCGGTTGGCGGTGAGGTCTGCTTGTCATTAGCATGCCCCCGTAAATGTAGCTTGTCGATTCGAGCTTGTCGTTTGACTGAACGGAAGCGTGTGCTATTTCGTCTGGGGGGGAAAGGTTTCACGGACCGTAGTATTTCTGGAGGGCCGGGTCGAGGATCAAAGCTGTGGGATGGAGTTAGTTATCTTGTAGCAGTGATAAAGGGGGTAGGCGAGGACGTACACTTGCTGGGGCCGGCCATGGTGGCGGATGTGGATGTGGATGTGAATGTGAATGGGCTGGAGAAGGTCACGGCTTGTGCTGCTGCTGCTGCTGCTGTCGCTGCACTGATGGTGATGTCGCGGGTGAGGGAACGACGTTGCGGGTCATGTGATGGGTGCGTGCACAGCTGTGCTGCTTAGTCACTATGCTGCATTGTGCTGTGCACTGGTGAGTAAGCAGTTTTATGAGGATGCACAGGCTGCAGGGATTATTTACTTACTAGATCCTTCGCAGCTCACCCACTCCTCATTTCAAGGAATAAAGGTGCAGCACACTAAGCAGCAGCTTGTGAAAGATCCCTCGCGAAAAAACATTCGCCGATCTCATCATCCCCGAAAATTGGGAAAAGGCTGTCCCAAAGACTGGAACAAAGAACACAACGGCAACCCCACCGCCATGACGCAGTATCACAGGTTCTACGCCTACATCCGAGGTCCCCTTCACCAGCGTCCGAGCCTTAAATGATAACACCCCTTTCCCCTTGCACATCCAATCGCTTCTACACCCACCACACCGTGACAGAGTCCAGAACACAACGCAAAATGACCGACCCCAATAAAGGCGCCAAAATCACCCTCTACTGGTATGCTCCCCTCATCTCCATCCCCCTCTCATCGCCCCGCACCGCACCGCATCGCACCGCAACTAATCCCCCGGAATCAAGGCTCGCGCAATCCCGCTCCCACCGCATCCTCTGGCTCCTCGAAGCGCTGCACCTCACCTACGAGCTGAAGATTTACCACCGCGGCGCCGACAAGCTCGCGCCCCGCGAGCTGAAGGAGATCCACCCGCTGGGCAAATCCCCGGTGCTCACCGTGCAGCCCGCGGCCGCCGCCGTCTCCGGGCAAGAAGGAGGCGATGGCAACTCCAAAATGCCCATCGTGCTGGCCGAATCCGGCCTGATCATCGAATACCTCCTCGACCACTACGGCGCCAACGCCGACGCCCCGCTGATCCCGGAGCGGTATGCCGCTGCTGCAACCGAAACAGTCGGCGGCGAGACTGACTCGTGGCTGCGGTATCGGTACTACATGCACTACGCGGAGGGCTCGCTGATGCCGTTTCTGGTCATGCAGTTGGTGATGGATAGTGCGTGCCCCCTTCCCCCTCCCCCTTGGATCGAAGATACTGGGGGGAGTTTTGTTGGGGGAGTTTTGTTCTGAATGCTAATTTGCGGCCGTGGAACAGCCGTCAAAAACCCGCCCATCCCGTTCTTCCTCAAACCCCTGCCGCGGGTGGTGGCCGGGCAGGTGGAGAAGGCGTTTCTGAATCGCAATATCGCCGCGCATCTGGATTTTCTGGAGGAGCAGCTGCGCACGAGTCCCGGGGGTGGGCCGTACCTGTGTGGGACGGCGCTGACGGCGGCGGATATCATGATGAGTTTCCCGGTGATTGCGATGGCGGGCCGGTTGGCGATGGAGGGGTATCCGGAGTTGAGTCGGTATGCGGAGTTGTTGCAGAAGGAGGCGGGGTATGTGGCGGCTTGTCGGAAGATTGAGGAGGTGGACGGGAAGTTTGAGGCGTCTCTTTAGGTCTTTGCCTCTCTAGGTCTAGGTGTTGAGCGTGATGGAGTGGTTGTATGTATGTATTTTAGGATCTTAATGTAATGTCTGTCGTTCCACTGCATTCCTTTTTTAGAGAATACTATGTATAGGATAGTATAGTACACCGAAACATATACCCCAGCCAGCGCCCTCCCTAGCTATATACAGCACAGCACAATCAACGCATGCCCCTACCCCTAACTTATACTCTAACATATAACCCCTGAGCCAAACAAGGCAAGCAAGCAAGCAAGAAACCCTACAGCTTAAACTTCCTCGCAATCTCCTCCTCGCTGAACCGCCGCGTCTTCCGGCGCAACATCTCCGCCTTCTCCTCCAGCGTCATCCCGACCTGCTCCCCCATGGGCACCAGACACTTGGCCAGATGCAGGTAATCCTTCCGGAGGAGGCGGATGGTGATCATGATGTAGTCAATGTTCCGGAAGACGAGGGCCTGCTCGGCGGCGTAGCGGCGGTGCTGGCGCAGGAAGGCGACGGGGTGGTCGCGCCAGTGGCGGCGGGGGTTGAGGTGGTGCGAGGTGTGGTAGCCGTCGTTGTAGCAGAAGCGGTTGCTCTGCCGTCCGTTAGTATGCGTATCGGTAGGAGGTTGCGCAGCCCTCCCTCCCTCTCTCTCTATGGAGGAACACGTACAGCCACATCAATCAAGGTAATACTACTCCGAAAGTCCGAATCCGGGTCGATCTCATCCACCAGGGCATGCTGGCCCCAATTGCCGACCATCAAGCCCACCCGCAACTGCAACACGGGCAGCAGCAGCACGAACAGCGTCGGGCGCCACCCGCCCCACCGCCACGCCGCGGCGATCATGGCGTACGTGCCCAGCTCCCACAGCCCGGCCTTGGCCGCGGTGGTCAGCTGCCCGCGCCGCAGGAAGTAGGCGGGCAGCTCCACCCACACCAGGAAGTAGAACCGGGCCACGTAGCAGGCGAAATCCCGGGGGGAGTCGCGCTGGTACCGCAAGGTGCTGGAGAGGTCGCGCGGCCCGTTGCCCTCGACGTGGTGGTGTTTGACGTGGTGGTAGAAGTAGGAGTTCCAGGTGTGGCCCATGAGCGGGTCGAGGAGGTAGGGGAACACGGTGTCGAAGAGCACCGCGAGCGGGTGCGCGCGGGTCAGGATCCCGCCCATGTGGATGTGCTGGTGCATCATCAGGGTGTAGGTGCCCACGTAGTAGGACTGCATGAGCCAGTGCACGAGGCCGTGCCACCAGTGGAATGTTCCGAAGAACAGGTACAAGGCGCTGGGGATGGAGGTCGTAAAGTACAGCAGCAGGTGGGTCAGCATCACCACGTCGGTTTCGACCCGCACCAGGGACCGCGCGGCGCGGATGTACGGCTGCAGGAGGCACTCGTTCAGAAGGGTGGGGAGTGAAATAGTGAGCTGCGGCAGGTCCCAGGTTACGAAGACGGTGGGCGTGAAGCTGCTGCTGGAGGGGCTGTTGAGGGCTGCGAGGTGTGTGATGGTTGCTTGGGTTTCTGAGTCAACCTCTTCTTCTTCATGCCCTGTTGCGCCGTTGGCGCTGTTGCCATTGTCATTGCCATTGACGTTTGCTGTACCCGGAATTAGCTGGGGATCATTTGCTGGGGGATTCCAATGGGGAGTTACGGGTTTTCTTCCCGGCGGCTGTGGCTGTGGCTGCGGCCGCGGCCGGGGCTTCCGCTTCCTTGAGCAGATGCTCCAGGACCAACCGGTCGGGGACCGTCAGGTTGGGGTCTATAAAGGTGGCTGGATCCATGCTGCTGTTCTGGAGCTGTGGGAAAAGCGGAAAAATGAGCCAGCCTGGAAGGACACAAGCTTTAGGTTGGATTAAGACCCCCGGGGGGGGGGGCTGATAAAAAGGGGGGAAGATTATCGAGTGGATCAGCCGATCCTTGGCATGTCAGATCGGTGGTGGAGCCGGCTGGATAGAGGGGACTATAACTCGGAATGCTATAGATGGGAAGTGCGGAGGATGTGCAATTCAGCAAGCAAGAGAGTATAAGTCGAAGCTAGCACCATTCGACTCATGGGCAATGTCATGGCAGGCATATCATGCTGATTCCTTCGGTCGGATCCAGCGTGGTGGGCATCAGCTCATCAGATGATCCCAGCAACCCTAATTTCATTGCGATTCCGGGGATTCTCATCCCGACTGCAGCTGCGGACCTGACGCAAAGATAAGCAGACCAGATTCGATCTGCAATGGAACGTAGCTCCATGCACGGTTAAGCTTAAACCGGTGTAACCCCGATTATGCCGAGCAAAGCCAGGGACCGGTGATTGAGATGACTGAGATGGACGACGTCATTACTTCCCCTCTTGTACTTCTGTACCACTAAGTGACTGACTGGTACCACCTCAGCCCACAAGGTACAGACAGTACTTCTGCCCTGTACCGTACCTTATAACAAGGTAAACTTCCCCCTTCCCCCTTCCCCTCAACCCCTCCCCGCATTTTACACCCACACCTCACCTCACACAACACCAACCCCCTCAACCTCAACTTCACCCTCACCCTCACCCTCACCACCCTCAAAATGAATCTCACCCTCTTCTCCACCAAATCCTACGACACCCACTACTTCACCACCACCCTCACCAGCCTGCAACCCACCCTCCCCGAACCCATCACCCTAACCGCGCACCCCTTCCCGCTCACCCTCTCCACGGTGCCCCTCGCGCGCAACAGCACCGCCATCTGCGTCTTCGTCAACGACAGCCTCCCGGCCGCGGTCCTCCAAGCCCTCTGGGACATCGGGGTGCGGGCGATCCTGCTCCGGTGCGCGGGGTTCAACAACATCGACCTCCCGGCCGCGGAAGCGCTGGGCTTCTTCGTGGCCAACGTGCCGTCGTACTCGCCCGAGGCGGTGGCCGAGTTCGCGGTCGCGCTGCTGCAGACGCTGAACCGCAAGACGCACCGGGCGTACAACCGGGTGCGCGAGGGGAACTTCAACCTGGAGGGGTTCCTGGGGATGACGCTGCACGGCAAGACGGTCGGGGTGGTGGGGCTGGGGCGGATCGGGATGGCGTTTGCGCGGATCATGCGCGGGTTCGGGTGCGAGGTGGTGGGGTTCGATCCGGTGCGGCAGCAGCAGCTGGAGGGAGCAGGTGGAAAGGATGGGAATGTGGAAGACAAAGACGAAGACGAATTCACCACCCAATTGGCAGGCCGGTACGTCGCCACCGTCGCGGACCTGCTCGCGCGGTCCGACATCGTCAGTCTGCACTGCCCGCTCACCGAGGCCACGAAGCACATCATCAACGCCGCGTCGCTGCGCGGGCTCAAGCGCGGCGCCATCCTGGTCAACACCTCGCGCGGCGGGCTGATCCACACGCGCGACGCGATCGGGGCGCTCAAGGCCGGCACGCTGGGCGGGCTGGCGCTGGATGTGTACGAGCAGGAGGGCGATCTGTTCTACAATGACCACTCCGCCGAGATCATTCATGACGACACGCTGATGCGGCTGATGACCTTCCCCAATGTGCTGGTCGCCGGCCACCAGGCCTTCTTCACGCAGGAGGCCCTGGGCGAGATCGCGCAGGTGACGCTGTCCAACCTGGCGGATTTTGTGGGCAGGCGGCCGTGTCGGAATTCGTTGGTGCGCGAGGGTCATTTGTTTGTGGAGGGGGATAAGCAGCCTGTGCGGTTGTAGGTGCCGGGGTATTGGGGGTGGTGATGGTTTCGGTGGTGGACGTTGTCTGCTTGGGATATGAGTTTGGTTTCACGGCAGTCTCTCGTGACGAATTAGTCCGATGTGAACATCATCTAGTGTTAAAGCTCGTCTTGTACACGTCCGATATACTGAAGGAAGGCGAAATGTTACTGATTACAGCCGTCGTGAATGCTTCAACAAGCGTTGCAGGATCGCCTTTCCTGATACCTGTTTCCACATTGCCTGGCGGAGTCAGCCATACAATCTTCTAGCAGAGGAAGAACCAGGCAGCTTGTAGCATCATAATCAATTTCATCGCGAAATTGCACGAGTTGGTCAGGGACCTTGGATACGGTGGATGCTCTACTCGTGCCAATTTGCAATAGCCCCTGATTCTGCTGTCAGTGCCCTTGTGCCTTATCAGTCTCCTCTTGAAGCAAGCCGCTGTAGATGTGAACTACCTTTGTAAGCTACCCTGCTTCAGTAAAGTTATATTGGCACGAGCCTTACTAGGATTGTTAAAGCTATCAAGGTCCCAGATTATCTTAAACCGGAAATATCGCTAATCGAGCTCGCTACTGAAGAGCACTGTATATGCTCTCTTATATTAGAGTAAGTCGATCTAAAGCAGTCCGTCGAAAGGTATGTAAAGCTTTCAAGTACAGAGGTGCCAGGAGAACCGGGTGGTCGCAATATGGCACGAGTATCTTGCCTTACATTCCCATTTATGTGATCGCCGACGCCCATCTCGCCTTTGAGACCACGAAGGTTGTTTGTGAGCTCGGAGGGTGTAAGTGATCGGCCTTCGAGCTACTGCCTCGACCAGTATGTGTACCCCTCCGTCGGGCCAGCCCTGCAGCCGGACTACTTACAGCGAACCACAGCTAGGCCCGCACAGAGCAGAGCTCCTAAAGCTCGTCGTGCATGCGCGCGAGGTCCTGGAGCCATTCCTCAAACGCCGTGATATTGTATCTCGGATCGACGATATGCATCTTCGCTCGCCGCGCAGCCCCCACGGCCCCCACCCAGAATGGGTCCACCTGATCCCGGACAAGGGGCCTCCAATCCTCCGGGATGGCCAGTTGTAGAGCTTGTTTGAGGGTGTCAATGGCTGCCTCCGATGCGTCTCCGCTGATGATGATCGCCCGAAGATACTGTGCGTCACCCGGCTCGAGGATCTGTTCTTGGATAAAGCCGTCAAGGATGCGACGGAGATCCTCCACCGCGTCCTGTTGCTAGCGACAACGTACCAAAGTTAGCCAAGGCTTTCCTCATATCTTTGATCCAAAAGGAGCCGTAGACTCCTCTACTAGCCTGGTAGCGGGGCCAAACTCACCTTTTGAGCACCCTCATCGTCCTCCTCCTTCCCGCCCGCCATCACCACCACCACAAACTCCCCATGCCGCCCTCGTTGGTACAGCTCACTATCATCCGTGTCAACGTCGGTTTCACCGACCAGCCCGGCATACAGATTCAACCTTTCATCCAGCCCATAATCCACAAACAGAATCACCGCCGTCTCATCCATCAGATCGCAGTCGGCCGCCTCGCTGATCCCCAGAGCCCGGCACGTATCTAGCCCGTACACAAACCGGGCGGTGTGCAGGAACTCACGGAACTCCCACTCGTATTTCACGGCCGTGGCGTTAGATGCAATGATCGTGCCGTGAGGTCGCGGTGCGGTCCTAAGCCGATATCCCGTGGGAGGCTGATCGCCGTGATGTTGACCGGGTAGTCCAGGAGCTGCGTGGCTTGATCTTTCACGTCTTGAAGGAGATTACCGATCATTGTCGCGTCGTCCGGGGTGTGTGCAGATTTGTGAAATCTGTAGGGCATGGTTCCTGTCGTCAGCAAAGCAGGAGGGGGTCGGGTGGTTCAGTCGGGGGTGGTGGTGTGCCCCGCGGGGTGGGGAGGGAACACCACCTGCTCTCCCTGCAACCTTCGTGCAATTGCTGCATGTAAGACTGGTATGCTGGAGGGGCGAAAAGCTTGACCAAAGGGACGGCTTCGTCGTTTCCATTGATATAGGCGGCTGTTCTGCAAGAAGGAGATGTGAGCAAGGGTATAGATGAACGGAAGATCGGGGGAGGGAAAATTGAAAATGGATGGATACATATATCTCTGGCCAAGGTGGACGCCCAGAGCTGCAGTTCGACCAACAGAGTCAGTGAGTATATTATCATTGGTAAACACAGGAACAGTTATGAGGGCAGACTCACAGTATCCTTCAAATCCCATGACACATCTTGGAAGATACAGAAGGTGAAACCATACGGTAGGTAGTATAATTGTCCGAAGCATGTTGATAGGTGGAATGCTCTGTTGTGATCATATAAGAGGGAGAGAGAGAGAGAGAGAGAGAGAGAGAGAGAGAGTGTGTGTGTGTGTGTGTGTGTGTGTGGGATTGAGTGTGAGGGAACAGCTACAGTGCGGTAGAGATCGAGAAGAAATACTTTTCCTGCGGCTCTTTGTTTGCACTCACTTGTAGTTGTGCAACATTCACCTCCTCCTCCTTTCCCTTTTCAGCCTCCCCCTATCCCCCTTATATCAATTTGGACTTAGCCCCCCCCCCAGTTTGCACACGCAGAGGACGACAATTTGAAACATGGGGAAGCACAAACACGGGTGTAGCGTCGAGCATCGGAATCGTGATACCAACCTTTGGAATCCCAACCAGGCCCATTGTCAATAATGGTCGACGGTGCTCACGAAACCTGGAGCAAACAATTGAGTGGGGGCGGGCAATTGGCTCGAGGGCAAGGACAGATGCATCCAGGGCTCAAGGGCTGCCTTAAGCTATTGCCAATTGTCCTACTCATCCCTACAAAGGGTAAATGGACAGAGGAATAGACAGTGGAGGGGATGACAATGATGGCTGTGAATGCTGATGGCATACTTGCCCCCAGCATAGGCATAAATCACAGAGCAAAATCCAGCTTCACTCGGGGTTTCCGCTTCTTCGATCCAAACGATCAAGGCGAGTCCAGCACTGTGTCACGATGTACGGAAGACGTCTTTTTCTATGCTTGTTTCTGTTACCCTTTTCCTTCTGCTCCCCGGTCGAGAATGCCGCCCGTGAGGATGTTCTTGCCAAAGCGACAAAGAATTACCAGGGAATCAATTGGGATCTTGCAGCCAACGACTGCGGAGGATCCAGGTTCAACACCCTGGTGGAAGCCACTCGGATGGCCATCCAGCTCACCGAACGCCCAAGCCAACCGGTGAGTACGCCGGGGTGGAACCGCTTCTTCCTCTCCGACAAGCATATCAAGAAAAGGGAAGGCTGGATTGTAGGTGCTCCTTCCAAACCCAGTGTCCATGCGCCTCCTGCTCAAGCAGCACCGTAAGCTGATGGAAATGAACAACATTAGGGGCAAGGCACTCATTATGCGAAAGTGCTGAGTAGGTCCCCCATCGCCTTGTTCCGGTGGCCAAAAGAACTCATCGCGCTTTCAGGAATCATGGATTCGGTTCATCAGTTCCCAAGTAAGGGGAAGGATAGGAATCCCGACAAAATAATTATGTATCGCTGTGACGGTCAGTCGGAGATATGCAGACAGCTCCCAAATGCCGCGTAAGTGCAGTGCAGTGTGTAGTGCAGTGCTTGCAACATGATACCCACTTCGAAACTCTTGCTGACGCTTTTTGTTTCTTTGTTTTGTCGCACCTATCTAGAGCAGTCACCGCCATACCCTCAAGAGGCAAGAGTGGTCAGTGAACCCTTCTGGCTTCTAGTCGACAGTGTTATCCGTGCCCTCTTATCCATCGATACTGAGAATTGACACGTCTAGGGAAATGGGAGATACACTTCTGCGATCAATTCTGGGCCGTTGGTCACCTCAAAGACAAACGCCGAATCCGCAGGACTTAGAGACTCTGAAAAGTTTCGAACATGTCATCGCCCACGAGCTTCTGCACTGTGGTGTTGTGACAGGTAGCAGTCAGAGGGCTATTGATAAGAAAGCCACCCTTCCAAGCTGGCCAACAGAAGTGGTACGTACCTTACCGGTGGTCATGGCTGTTCAAATTCGTTGCCAGCAGATGACACTGATCCAGACGAACAGGACGTATACGGAGCCAGTCGGTGTTCCGAGTACGCGTAGCTGTATGCAGATAAGAAGAAGGCCAATTTCATAGTCAAGGAAAATGGTAAGTCCTGAGTCGTCTGAGAGGAACATAGCTAATCGACGTGCTAGCGGATATCTATGCCTGGTTCTATACCAACAGTTGGTTCAACAAGCAATGGAACTGGCATGACGATGGGGAAAGGCGATGAAGCCAGTATTGGTGGTGGGGAGGTGAGGAGGTCACCTGCTAACAGCGAGCTCCCACGGTCAAGTGGGAGCAGGGCATCTTGTGGAATGGGCCGGCCTGTTGAAGAAATGGATCGAGCTGTGGGTTCCCTGTAGCCAGCTGGGCCGTAAGCCTGGCCCAGGGTCAACGGGGTATACTGCATAGCGCGATTCGCTTACATCGACCATCTTACTTGTATGAATCCTTATACGACTTTGTGTATGAGTTCTTGCTTCATAGACTGTCTCACTCACTGGATTCATGTTGTTTGTATAGATTCTTATATAATTCCTCATCAAGTTGAAAACTTGCTTAGACATTCTATTACTGGTGAAAATATACTACTTGTGGGAGAGCACTACCACTGCCATCACGGATATCAACTATACCCCCACACGGTCAATAGACACAATGAACAGAGATTCTAATCCTTACCCCTCTAGCCTTCCGTCTCTCCTGGAATTGACCCAATCCTCGTCCAAGAATAGATTGTGTAGTTAGCTGATGATGGTGCCTAACAAAGGGAAATATATGGCAGAATATCGGATCTAGTGCCAATTGTGAACGGATAACCAACGACTAATTTCACACACCAAAGTACTAGGATATTTACAAGGTCAATTAGCACTAGAAAACAAAAACGAAACGTGTACCGACAGATTCGACAAACAAAGAACGAGATAGAATGCATCCCCAGAGCCAAAAGAGAAAGCAAAAAACGACAGCAGTCGGATTTGAACCGACGCCTCCGAAGAGAATAGATTTCTAGTCTATCGCCTTAGACCGCTCGGCCATACTGTCTTATCTGGTGTGATAATACGTCAGTATAATTCATGTACAAAGATGTGAATGTAGTGCAGTGATCGTGACTCGCCTAACTATACTTCACGCCCGTCGAGTGACTCTAATATTGACACTGTGTAGCAACTACAGAATAAGCAACGACAATTGTCAACAATAACAGAAGCAGCCTCAGACCCACTGACAAAACCCCCATCCACTACCGGCAGCAAATCCAGCAATCATGCTCACAAGTGAGAAGTCTGAACCCACCCACCTCAGACCACAAGCCCTCCCCAACCGACCCCCATACACCACCTCAAAACCCCTACACCAACCATCAAAATACTCACCCCACGTTAGATCCCGTTCCCGCATCGTAATCTCCACCAACACCTCCAGCCCCCTCGCCGCCGCCAACAGCAGGCCCGGATGCCGCAGCCGCAGCAGCAGCAGCAGCAGCAGCACCTCCTCCTCCTTCAGCCCCGACTTGTCCAAAAACCCCCAAGTTACCAGCGAGGAGATCCATCACCGTGTCCAGGACCGCCGTGCCCCTCCGCAGGAACGGCGACAGCTGCCTCGATATTACTTGTCCAGGGGATCCGGGAACCCCTCCCGTTCAATTTCGTGCCGAAGCAAAAGGGTTTGAAGAGGGTTGACTGGGGGTGATGTGCAGCACCTCGAGCCCGCTTTCTAATGCCGCTGCCGCTTTGAAGAACGAGGCCTGTGGGCAGACGATCGCGCGGTGGACTTGGAAGGTGTGGCCCGGCAGGAGATCGTCAGACCGGGGGATTCGCTCGCCCTTGTCGAGGAGGAACTTCATCATCCTTGAGAGGCGTGGATGGCTCAGTTGGTCTGTTGGATTGGGATTTGAGGAACTGGACTATTTAGACGCGGATGCAGATGGAGATTGTTGAGGGGCGAGACCCTCAGACAAAGCCGCCGGCGGCTGATGCGGGGGCACGCTGCATGGGAATGGCGGTGCGGCATTAGTGGGAGGTCAACATGAACTCAGTCGCTGGGCAGCTGGAATAGCACGCCTTAGCTTGGGAGTCGGTGGGCTCGCACTGCACCAGGCATCCGTGATGATCATTAGGGCTTCCGTTGCCGCATGGTGGAAGAAGGCCACTGACAGACATATCAACTTCTATCAAGAGCATCCTGTACATCCATGACATCGCTCTCGTCACTCCCTTTGCTATACTCCAACCCTCTTGATGCATCAAACAGACACATTTATATACCCGACCCAAGAACAACAGAAAGAAAAAAAATAACAATCCATGTCATCTGTCATAATCATCATCATCGTCATGATCACCAGATATACTATATGCCCCTCCCACCAACCCCAACCCCTATGTTCATCTCCCCTCTCCCTCTCCCTCACCCTCCCCAATCATCCCAACCAACTCCTCATACTCGCCCGTATTCCTCAACATATTCCAAAACACCCCTTGCTTGGCTACGAGATTACGCGGCGAATCGTTCCTAAAGGATGCTGCATTAGCCAGGCTTCCACCATCGAAACCATACCAGACTAGAAATGAAAGGGCAAAAACATACTCAACAATCTCCCCACCAGCCATAACCAACACGCGATCGTAATCCATGATCGTCCGCAGCCGATGCGCGATCGCGATGATCGTGCAGTCCGAGAACATCTCGCGCAGCACCTGCTGCATGTGCATGTCCGTCTCGTGGTCGACGGAGGCCGTCGCCTCGTCGAGGAGCACGACCTTCGAGCGCCGGCAGAGGGCGCGCGAGAGGCTCAGCACCTGGCGCTGGCCCTGGCTGAAGTTCTCGCCGTTGGCGGCGACGGGGGTGTCGAGGGTGAGGGGGCGGCGGTTCGGTTTACTGGGGATATCCTCTTCGGTTGACGAGGCAGGGGGCGCATGCACGTGGTCAGGCACAGAGACGGGGACGTGAATCGAGGAGGTGCAAGCCGATAAAGCAGACTGGAGTTCGGATTCGCTGGACTCGCCGAAGGGGTCCAGGTTCGACTGGACGGTGCCGGAGAAGAGAACGGGTTCCTGCGGGATCAGGGTGACACTGGTGCGGAGGCGGTTCAGCAGGATCCGACTGATGTCGACCCCGTCGATGGTGATGGTGCCGCCGACGAGGTCGACGAACCGCAGCAGGGACAGTCCCAGGGTACTCTTGCCGCTTCCAGTGCGGCCGACGATGCCGATGCGTTCGCCCGGGTGGGCGACGAAGGAGACCCCGCGGAGCACGTCGGGCCCGTCGGGCTGGTAGCGCGCGGTGACGTTGGAGAACTCCACGCGGCCGGAGGTGGGCCAGCTGGCGGGGAGGGTGGTCAGCGCCTTGTGGTGCTCTTCCTTGGTGAGACTCTCCTCGGGCTCGATCTCGGCGTATTCCTTCATGCGCTGGAAGGAGTTGAGCTCGATTTCCAGCTCGTTCATGGTCCGGACCAAGGTGAGGATCGTCTGGCTGAGGCCGATGGCGTTGGTCAGTGAGAAGCCCACGAGGCCGGCCGAGCCAGACCAGAAGTAGGCGACGCAGCCGGCTGCGGCTGAGACAGAGGCCGCGCAGAAGTCGGACCGGACGGAAACCCAGCGGTTGCAGTTGTACTGCGCCTCGGCGGTGCGCGAGTGAACGGCTAGCTTTTCTGCGAGCATGGCCTGGAAGACTTGGTCCATACCAGTACGGGCACGGATCACGCTCAGACCAGAGATGGAGTCGGTAAAGTGTGAGAAAACAGGAGAGTAACTGATGGAGCGGAGCCGCTTGATGGACACCTGGGCACGCGTGTACATCTCGCCCATAATGAAGCCCGCGGAGCAGATGATCGCGGCGGGGAGTGCGAAAATCGGCATGATGGAGGCGACGCTTGCAATGCGAAGCAAGAACCGCAGTGCGTTCTCGATGGACATCCGCAGCCACTCGACTAGGATCGTGTCCATCGACCGGGTGTCGTTTCCGAATCGATTGATGGCTCGTCCAATGGGGTTCTGATCAAACCAAGAAATGGGTGCTGAAAGCACGGCGGTCACTAGCCTCTGATGCATGGTTTTGGCGGCCACCCAGCTGCCATACTGGTATATAAGATTGTTGCAGACCTGCAAGAAGAGGAAAGTGAAGATAGCGGCCGCATAGATCCCCAGGTAGAACAGAGTGTCGACATGCTCCTGTTCCTCGTACGCCCCTGTCCAGATCGAGAGCCAGTAGGTGATGGAAAAGTAGGCAAATTGGACCGAGATAGTTGCTAGAATGACAAGAGGGGCGTAGCCGACGCTGCCAAACAGACGCATAT